AAAATAAATGACTAAATCACGAATGAATAACTAAACAATCAAGAAATATAAGTGCATGTACACGTACTGATATTCTTCTTTGTCACACGACTGTGATTGTTGCAATGCGCAGGATGTGTCACATCTGCAAGTGGCTTTACTGAAGACTGGCTGAAAATTCGGAGTATAGAATGGCATTCTTCATTACGTGTTGGTTGTAGAGTGCTTCGTTGCTCGGGGCTTCAGGCTTGCCAGCACGGATAACCCGCGAGACGGGCCGACGTACCTGGCTGTGGGCTCTGCGCATTATTTGAATCTTTATCCTGATTCGGGCTGGCGCGGTAGCGATGAAACCACGACGGAGCACTGCTGCAAGATGGTCTTCTATTGCACTACTCTCGTCGCAGCGCATACTCCAAAATTTAATTCATACCACAGATATCCTGCCTGAAACTAAGGAGTTTTGCCAGACAATGAACAATCTGCAGGTTCCGCCACCTCTGGCAAATATGGATGGATTCAGCAACTCGTTAATTTTCGACGACACACTGCACGTGGCCTATCGTGGCTTCGCTCCCGATTTTGTGGCGAGCGCATTAATCTGTATGTTTGGCCGCGGCTTGGCTTTGCAGACAGCGTGCAACATGGCTGCTGACTGGGCGCGGGCACACGGCCACTATTTGAGCATAGAGGAGTTCAGCTTGTCGGAGGATAAGTATCCCTCCCTGAATGCGAAGGGATGGGAGGTGAAACTCCTCTGCCTTTGGATAGCTGCTACATCGCATCAATATTTAAATACCTGCAGACTCAACACTGAAACTGAATAAATCCTTTCGGCCTTTTGCCTTGCAACTCAGGCTGAAATCACTCCAGCTTATGCGCGATCAAGCAAGGCTTCCTCCGATCGCCAGTTTGCTTACGTTCTTTCAATGCGCCTGGTCTCATTCAGGTACATTATATGGTTTGCACGAATGAAATCAGATTTACTAGGATATGTGGGTCAGAAAAACTTATTTATCTGCATAGAGACATGTGTATCGGTGCATCAAACTCTCCTAGGGCAGCACGTGCGTTCGCGATGAGCATCAAGATATTGGACAAGACTACTTATGCCGTAGCGCATGAAGATGTTCAACCTGGGATCGCCGCCTGCCATCGCTTCGTGTTGGGCTATGTCTGGCTGGCTTTCAGCTGCCACCTGGAGGGCCGCAAGCTCTTCAAGCTTAGACCGAAGAAACTCGGTTCTGAGAAATTCATTAATTCAGAAGGCCGATTTCGCTGAAACAAGTCTTGTGTCATTTGCGCAAATAGAGCCACTTAGGCTGCGCACGTGGATGCACGTCTGGGAGCGGCAGCAGAACTGCCGCTTGAACCCTCAACTGAACGCCTGTTACGCTGATGAAGATTTCATCCGAATTATTTGTGGTGTGGCCTTTTGGCAGAAACCTTATTTATTAGTTTTGCTTTATCAGTGTGCCTTGTTTCAAGTCGCTGGCTTCTATCTCCAGCTGCGTATATACTTCAGGCATCCGGAT